AAGTTGACTAACCAATGCCAATGAAATCGTATCACTTAATTTCACCTAAATGTTTAGCAGTTTCCACAGCTTTTATTTATATGAGGGAACCGGATATTGGCAAATTTTTAGCCAAGGCCGAGGCATTACATGATCTATTTCAAAGCCCTTACATTTTATAAAGTTCTTTTTTGTTTCTCTATTCACTTTTTCATCGTACCATTCACGTAATATATCTATCCGTGATTTGAGTTTTCCCAAATTTAAATTGAGTGGTTAATTTACGTACGCTTTGTTTCTTTGCACCATATTAATTTATTATGTCGATTTTATTTTTTAACGTCAAACGTGACCATACTGGAGCCATGGTAAATACGATACCAAGGATATATATCAATAAGCCATAATTCTCCTTACCTTATCCTATTCATTAAATCATAAAAATAAATGTCTTCATCGGAAATATAGAAGTACTATATAAAACAGGTTCGTATTTCTCCGTTTATCTGTCCCTTATTAAGAGGTATTTTAACACACCAGATTACCTAAACCTGTCCGCGTCTGTTATTTAGAGGTATTCGCTTTTTAGAAGAGCGTAATTCATTGCTTTCAATGGGACTATGCCGGGGCTGGAAAATTTGTCCGTTATTGAGAAGTATCCTCTAATTAGGGGTGTCTATTGAGAGAGAGTTTTCACTAAAATTTACAATCCGTTTTGGCTACTGATAAAAATCACTTGGACAGACATTTTTGTAGTGTGTAGTGCTCGAATCAAAGTTACACTGATTCGTGGTACTCGTACGTGGTTACTTTGACAAGTGTAAACCGGCCTTAACGTGTATCCCCGTTTGTTAGGATATTATGAAAAACTGAAACTATTTTCAAGTGTACATATTGTTTTCGTCGTATTGACCATATACAATTATATATATTGTTCCGCGATATGATTTGTTTAAGGGGTAACGTTTGCTACGGCCCTCCGGAGACCGTGGTCGAGGCCACAGTCACCCGATTTGGCTGATACACACAGTGACTATGTCCTAGCCTCACAAAGGTGGCTGTGTTATCGTGTACGACAAGCACGCGAGCGCTGTCGCCATAGTATTACGATTTATAAATTCTCTGACATCTTGAAAAACTCAACGATCGACTCGGTCTAATCCCTGGAATTACGGACTATACAAAGCACTACTACCACGGATCATATGAATATTATTTATTATATTCATATAATCTGTGCTATTACCGCGCACTGATAACGGTGGATCGTTACACGATCTCCCTGAAGACGACGTGGAATCCACGAAAACGGGTTTTCTCACCGTGCCGTTCGTGGTTGTCACGTCACCGCCTACTCCCCTCGCCGTACCCGTCTATCGTCCGCGTCGTGAAAAACATTTCGTTGTCAACGCATCACGTTCTCTGTGACCTGATTGTGTCGCTGTTGATCGTTGAATACATTTCGTTCGTTCTATGATCGATCGTGTCACGAACTAATCCGTCCGCCGTCCATTAAGCCATCTCTCTCAGCCGCACGTCGTCCCTGTGAATGCGCCGCAGACATTATCGCTTTGCGCAACAGATTGTCTGCCGCCACCGCCGCCGTATTCGCTTGCGCAACAGTTTGTCTGCCGCTACCGCCATTTTTGCTTTACGCAACAGTTTGTCCGCCGTCGCCGCCGCCGTATTCGCTTTGCGCAACAGTTTGTCTACAGCTGCCATGTTGTATCTACAGGACTTTTTAGATCGTAAGTGGTTCGGGACGCTCGTTCAGCTGCTCGTCGGACGCGGCAATTAGCGCACACGAGCATGCCATCAAAACGTCGTTAATTTCTTTTTCGTCCATTGCAGAGCTTGAAGAATTACCGCCAGAAGTACATAACAACCTCAACGAAATCGGTACCCTGGACGCTATAGCTCAAGGTAAGTACCGTAGTGAACTATATGGTCCTTGTACGTACACATTTTTCAACGGCGCCACACATCCGTTTATTTGGATTTGAATAGTGTAGATAGGTGGAAAAACAATAATTTTCGAACTGTGCCAATTGCTTTTGATATATGTTCTGCGTGACGTAGTGTTCCTTATCCCTTGACCTTATAGTAGAAGTACCCATTTAATATAAATTTATGTTTCTGGTTATTAAATTAAATATAATGTCAATGTATCGAGTCTTTAGTTTGTGTGTACACAATTATGATAAGTCTTATCGTAAGAACTAAGTGTTTTGGATTAATTACAGTACTTTTGTTATCGCTATGATATGCCTGGACGGAGTTGCAATTAGAAAGATAATGGCAAATTTTCAAAATTTAAACAACTGATTGGCTAATCCATAAGAATACTTTTTTATCATAATATTATTCTTTTGGGTCTATAACTCCAAATATATATCTGTTTGCTGGAAATTTTTTTTTGTGTGAATATTTCTTTTTACATACTATTATATTTATATATTATTATGTTGATTGCTATGTGTTAATAATATTGATTCTAGTATGAATGTATACTATTGATGTATAAAGTTCAATAGTTTATGAATCTACTACATTTATTGTACATTAGTATTTCAATTTATTAGTATGGATTATATTGGGTTTAATTCAACTATTCCACAATTATTATAATTAATCTTTTAAATTAAAATAATTTAATTATTATAATTTATTTTTCCCCGAATATATAAGGCACTAACATTAATTTGATAAAAATATAGATGTTAACTTATTATGATTTTGTAGAAGATAAATTGTCTTATTAATTAAAATGTTTCATCTTTATTAATAAGATATTGACATGGGTTATATGACTTAATATTATTTTTTTTACTATAAGAAATTCAATACGTCATCTATGTATTTTTAAAATTATTTTTTTAATCACGTCTATGATTTTGAAATTAATTATTATTAATTTACCATGTTTGTCACTTTCTGTCTACTTGCTAGTATGTTTGTGCTTATGAGGGCTCTAGTTTTAAAGTGTATATTCTCTATGTTTCACGAAAACTGAGATAGATATCATTGCATATTCAATTTTCAGCGCTGAATTTGAATAACTCACTATTGTCAAACAAAATGGTTAATCTCCAGTGTATTTTAAGCTTGAAAATTACATTTAGTTTCAAAACGTACAATCTCTAATCATAAATTATTTTTCATGAGTTTTACTATAAAAAATAGATTTATGAATATATTGTACAATGTTGTTGGAATGATGTCAATAGTAGTAAAAAAAATTGTTGTAAATATCCTACTAACTGCTCATTATGGAAATGAGTGGAAAAATGATCAGGGTTTAATTTTTTACAACTTTGTCATAGAGAAAGATGCAATACCAGGTTATTTTGAGGAACATATGAACGTCACGCAATAGAAAATAAAATCAATGTTGCAATTTAATAAATAAATTGACTTACTTATCAATCTTAAGTATTTTTTATTATTAAATTTACTATTAAATAATTAAAATAACTATAATCAATAATAATTAACATTTTTCATTTTTTTTTTTGTCAACTTCTAAACTGAATAAAAAATGGAAAAAATACTTAATTTTTAATTTCTCAATATCTATTTATTATTTATCAAAGTTATTTTCAAAACAAGCAATCTTCTATTGTTAGTTTCATAATGTACAATTTCCAAACAAAATTTTGTCAGAACAAAGACAAAATCTTGTTTTTTTTAAGCAAAAAACTGGTAAATCATCTTTGCATAACTATATGAAAATATTTAAAAAAATGCAAACGGAGAAAAAACATTTTTTGATTAAGTTATTGGTTTTTTTGGTTTTCTGAAAATTTAGTGAACATAGAGAATGTACACTTTGAAACTAGAGCCCTATAGTAGCAATTAATAATATCAAATAATCAACATATTTAATAAAAATAAAGATTATGAAAAAATTTAAATTTAATCATTTAATTTAAATTAATTGTCTATTTTGTTTATTCATTATAAGATAATTGATAATGTAAAATTATAATTGTATTTCAGTACTTTTTATTATTACTAATTACTTTTCTGTATTTAGAAAGAAGTATTATACTTTAATTCATTTATTAATTATAATTTAATTAATTAATATTTAATTATAATTTAATCAATGAAACGGGTTTTGCTGTCAAAAGCATAATAATTCTTCAAAAAATTATTATTGAACTATTGATTATAACGATGAATCTCAATCATTGGTAGGTACTCATAACAATATTATTCGACGGAGAACTTATTGTATTGGTTTGTGATGAAATAGATAAAAAATTATTTTCTATTCTTAACGTCAAATGAATAAATGTTTCTTTGATACCATTAACTTATATGTGTGCAAATAATATTTTTGTTGATGGTAAATTAAAATTGTTAAAAATTATAGTTGTAAGATATATAAAAGTTGAAAAAAGGCCAAATAGTAAACTGGCACTGTCTTATTGTATATATTTTACCTTCATCAATTATAGATAGTCAGGAAATACCCATTATAATACAAGTTAATTTTTAGATTCTTTGAACCATGTAAAAGATAATATTGAAAAATTGTTTTCAAATGCTGATCAACTAAATGAAAATGAATTAGAAACTAAGTTTCAGCTTCTTTTAAAAGAAGGTGATAATACAGTTAAAATATCTGGTAAGCATGAGTTGTTAAAATTAATGAATTATTTTAGAATTTTTTTTTTTTAGATAATAAAATTCAGAAAGCTTGCGATATGACAAATCTTTTGAATAAATATATAAAAAAATTGGATGATGATTTGAATAAATGTAAAGAAGAATTGAATTCCAATAATGATGGTATCGCTGAACTTATCGAAAAAGGTGAAATTGACCATATATAATTTTTCTTTTTTTCTTTTATTATTCTCCCATATAATATTATTTTAATTTTAGAAGTTTTAGATTCAGAAAGAAGCATGAATACTAATAAAACTAAAAATAAGCAGCAACCTAAAAAACATCTCATTAAAGGTAGGTAATTATTATTAGCATATGGCTTCGGCATTAGTATATAGACATAATTTAAATTAAGTTAATAAAGACTAGGACTAATAAACTAGTGAACTGAAATTAAGGCTAATATTAAAATATAATATTATAGCAGGTTTTCTAGTACCTCACTTTTTTCACTAAATACACTATTTTTCAATTGACTCAGTTTTTTCACTATAACTTAAAGTTTCTCACTTTTCTCACTATTATTCAGTAGAATCTAGAAAAAAGTTATAACCTCTTATGTTTTATCTTAATCTGTGGTACTATATACATAATATATATATATATATATATAGTGAATACGAAAATAGATGTCTTACATTGTTTTTTCTTTGCATACCTACCATAAATATATAAGTATAAATAAAAACAAAATTGGTAATTATTACATTTGTTTAATCAAGCTTTGTTATGTTTCACTAATTCCTGATTTTATACACTAATTATTGAGTAGTTTATATTGATATTTAATAACATACTTTTTAATCATTTTTTTGTTTAATAATTATACAATTTTTTCTTACTAACTATAAATGTCTCTGCACTGTTTTACTTAATTTAGCTTCATAGTTATAGTTATAAATGTAGTTTGATATCAGTTTATTTTAAATTTCTGTTTTTTATTAAATTATCATTGTTATACATTAGACAAAAATAAATCTTATTTTAAAGTATATAATTTTATTTTCATATGTTTATATATAGACAGTGAATATACTTCAATTTTTAATTATTTTTAAAACTTAAATTTGTTAATTTTTAAAATATATTAAAATAAAATAAAATACTAAGAAATTATTTTCGAATAACTATAATATTGGAAATAACTTAAATTAGAATATTTTTAACCCTTAAATGCACACTGTAGCAATTTTGCAACACGATATAAATCCCTGTTTTAATACACAATATAATATGTTTATTAATTGAATATGCTATCTATCGGACTGTTTATAAACTAATACACATTTGCATTATCAATGTTGATATTTTGTTATGTTATTGGAGGGAAATTTTATCATAAATGCTAGTCGTGTATGATACGCGTATTACGTGTGACATCCCCAATTATAAAACGTATTTATCCTTTTTTTGGCTGTTAAAACTTGAATTAAAAAATAACAGGTCAGCTAGTAAGGTATATATTTGTATATAAGCATTTTCCAATCGTATATTTTTTTTGTTTTTTGTTTTTATGTTTTTATCGTAGACTTAAAGTGTGTTGCAGATTTGTTACAGTTTGCATTAATAACATAAATTGACAATTGATTTTTCTAGAAATTTATATAGCTTGGTGTTTGTATAAAAGGTATATTTGTAAAACTAAATTATTTTATTTAATTATAATTTATTATTAATGTATTTCATAATGTATTCAGTTAGTATGGATTTGAATGATTATGATATTGAACAGCTATTATCTGTTAACTGGGATTTAAGTGAAGATGATTTAGATAATAATGATTTGGAAAATGGTTTAGGAAGTGATGATGAAATTGTATATGATATAAATATTGATGAACACTTAGAAGGTATTTTTATTTACTCATTTAGTATTAAAATATTATTTTTGCATACTTTATTAACATTATATTTATTTATGTTTAGTCATAAATAATGAACAGTTACCCGTTGACAATATTATACCAGATTTAGATATTGAACAATTACCTATAGAAATAGTACAAGAGGACAATGCTTATATATTCATCACAAATTGCAATGTAGATGTAAATATTCCCAATATTTCAAAAAGATCTTCAATGAGAAATAAAAATAACCCATTGCCTCAAAATTTTACTAAACAGACATATAAACCTCCAAAAAAATCTCCAGAATTTTTGAACTTAAAATGGAAAGATGGTAGTTTTATATCACCTGATCAAAATTTAGTATTCAAAGAAATGCCTATATCTGACAGTATATTAGATTTAGATACATCTTTATAATTTTTCACTTATTTTTTCAATGAAGAACTTATGCAAAATATTGTAAATGAAACTGAGTTATATTCCATTCAAACAAATGTTAGTAAACCTATTAATTTATCAATGATTGAGTTCAGAAGGTACCTTGGAATTCTTATATATGCTTCTGTTTTTTGAGTACCTAATGTAAGAGACTACTGGAGCGTTGAACTTAATTTTTCTCAGATTGCTGATGCTATGTCTCTAAGGCGCTATGAAACTATTCGTCGGTTTCTACATTTTAATAATAATCACACTATGCTCTCTAAAGACAATACTAGTTTTGATATATTACATAAAATAAGACCTCTTATAGAACATTTAATTACAAAATATTCAAGTGTTCAATGTAATCAATATTTATCTGTAGACGAATAGTTTTGTGCAACAAAAGCTAGAAGTTATCTAAAACAATATCTTCCTGACAAACCGTACAAGTGGGGCTACAAATTATTTGTATTGTGTGATGATGATGGGTTTTCTTATAAATTTGAGATATTTACTGGTCAAGAAAATTGGGAAAAATTTCGGTTGCCAAATGAACCAGATTTAGGGGCAATTTCAAATGTAGTAGTCAGACTTACCAGAAATGTACCACAAAATAAAAACCATAAACTTTATTGTGATAATTATTATACCAGTATACCTCTGTTTGAGTTTTTGTATCAAAAAGGTATATTAGCTTTAGGAACTGTACGGTGTAATAGAATTCCAAATTGTGAACTTCCAAATGATAAATATATAAAAAACCTAAAAAGAGGAACATCGGTTGATAAAGTATCATCATATGGAATCGCGCCATTGTCTTTAGTTTTGTGGAAGGACAATAAAGTGGTTACACTTTTATCCACATATTGTGGGAAAGATCCAATTTCTGTTGTAAAACGTTATGTTAAAAAGATGAAAACTCAAATAGGAGTAGATTGCCCATTTTTGATTAAAGAGTATAACCGTCATATGGGTGGTGTGGATTTACTTGATAGTCACATAGGCAGGTACAAAATTAAAATTAAGTCTCGCAAATGGTATATGAGAATATTTTACCATTTATTAGATATGACAGTGGTAAACTCATGGATCCTATATAAAAGAGTTTGTAAAGCTAAAGACATTGCTCCCAAGTTTACTTTGGCTGGTTGGAGAAAAGATCTTGCTTACACATTGTGTAAAATTGGTGAAGTAAGACCGAAAAAAGGAAGACCCTCTACACCACTGCAAAATAAAATAACTAGTACTAGGCCTCAATCGTTTAGACCATCAAAGGATGTGAGAATAGATCAAACAAGTCATTGGCCAATTCGAATAGATAAAAGAGGGCGATGTAAATATCCAAACTGCAAAGGTTTTACAAACAACCAATGCTCAAAATGTGCAATTTATTTGTGCAACAACAAATCACATACATGTTTTCAATCATACCATAACAAATAGGTTGAAAAAATAAAATTCCTTTTCTTTTTTTTTTAACATTGTATAAAGTTTATAAAGTTAAAGTTATGTTTAAATATTTATAATGTTAATTTTGGTTTTGTTTAATATATTTTATTTTATTTAATAAAGTCCTGATAAAATATAATATTTTGAAGTCATTTGCGCACACTGTATCAATTTTGCAACATGTTTAAAATTTGTAATTTTCATAGTAAATATGGCTTGTATAATTTTTTTAATATTTTTTTCAGATTCTACGCCTTAAAATTAGTTTAAAAGAATTAGTTAAAAAAAAAAAAAGTCGTGCATTTAAGGGTTAATTTATTATTCATGATAATATATATATATATATATAATTATTATATAATTATATATATATTATATATTCCTATTCATTAAATGTATTCTTAACACTGTTATGTGTAATAAAGGTTACTGTTTATAAATTTTCATAATTTTTTTATATAATGGAACTTAATACTTCATTCATTATTTACCAAATTTCTTTAATTAATAATATTAATATTATAAAAAACTACAAACAGCATTACTTTTATAAAATAGACCAGCGAAAAACATCTAGAAACATAAAATGCAGAGAAAACACTGAAGTAACTTCAAATAATGATGATGAAACAGCAAATGACAATTATGATTCTTCATCTGTAGAATACAACGTATCTATTAATGGTTTGGAACAGGTATTGTCAATATTAATTTATCAATTTTAAAAAAAATAATTTGTAAATATCATATTTTAGTTAGATTGTAGTGAAATATTAAATTTTTAAAAAATATGCAAATTAAATGTGTTTTCTATTTTTTTTCTTGATTCGCTTAATATTTTAGTGCTTTTCTTAACTATTGTTAAAATTTTTTGACTCTACAGTGCGTTACCTCCTTAATCAACTGAAATTTTTTTTTTTAACAATTTTTAAGATATGAAATTGTATAAAACATTTTGAATTATTTTAGTTCTCTTTTTCAGTTCCATAATAATATAATAATATTTAATTTAAATATTAGTAAAATTAAAGTTTTTTTTTTTAATGTTGTCTTATTCAGTCTTATTCAAATATAATACTCTTAATTGATTTGATACTGAGTTTTATTTCTTTTTAGTTTTTCAAAAATCAAATGGAATTTTCAAACGTATCTTCTACTGAACCAACTGTTTTGAGTCAAAGTAGTTCCATTTTGCCTGAAAAAATGACTCCAAAAAGTAATATTTCATCTTCAGTGGCCTCTAAAAAGAATAAAACATTAATAAAATCGTAAGTATTAAATTATACGTATTTGGTTAAAATCACAATTTTATTTTTAGTTCTAGAACGAAACTAAAAAAAGAAAGACAAAAAAAACCTATTAATTCCAAATCTGAAAAAATTACCAACAATTATATAAATGAAGAAATGGAGACTTATTCTTTACGTAATAAAGTTGTATGTACAGTGTCTATATTTCATTTAATACTTTTCCATATTGAATTATTTATTTTTCAACTTTTATTCAAGGAACAAATTGCATCATCTTCATCATCCTATATTGAACCAAGTGATACAGTTGATGAAGCTGCAGAATCTGATGACACTTCTCCAGTGACACCTAAAAATAAACAAATCACAAAAAAGTATATGTTAAATTATCTATATATAAATATAATTTTAATTTTATTTTTAATTTCAGAATAAGAAACAGAAAGAATTCTAAAATCAAAATAAAGCGATATTGTACATGTCATGAAGTTGCTTATGGTTTAATGGTTGCTTGTGATAATAAAACTGTAATAAAAAAAACTTCTAAACAATTATTTAATTTTTATAGTTATACAATGTTTTAATGGTAATTATTTATTGTTTTAGTGTCCATATAAATGGTTTCATTTCGAGTGTGTTGGAATTACACAACGACCGATTGATGATTGGTATTGTAATCCGTGCATTAAAAAAATGAAGAAATGAAAAAAAAAATGATTGCCCTGAAGAATATCCTTATATATTATTTTATATTCTTCTGTGCAGTAGAAACTCGATTATCTGAACGTCATTGCGTAAAATATTACGACGCACACGCCCAGTCACGTAAATAACATAATTTGTAATTTGTAATAATTAGGGCCCGGATTTATATGCAAAAATTATTGTTAAATATGCACATATTTATGCACTCAAAAATTCAAAAATATGCAAAAAATATGCAAAAAAAATTCTTTATTGTGCGTTAAAAAAAAAAATGAACATCTTAGAACAATTAAAAAATATATTATGTGAAAAAATAGATTAAATAAATTAGATAAATGCAAAATTAATAAAAAAATAACAAAAAATGTAATATTAATTTTGGAACGAGTACCAACAGGAGGTTACGAAATGTCTTTTTATATTTTCAAATTCGAAATTTCTACGATTGTCACGTAACATAGATTTATATTTTGAAAAACTTCTTTCTATGTCGCAAGACACGATAGGTGCATACTTAAAACAAGAAATGTCTTCAGGCGTCAACTCTTCAATGCCTTCATTGTCATTGCTTATTTCTCCGCTTAATATTCCACAATTTTTTATAATTTGAGAATACCCTGGATTCTTTGATAATACTTGCATTAGTTTAAGTTTAGCAAATTCTATGCCTATTCCTCCTTCACTTAACTTAATTTCAACATTTTTAACCAATAAGATAGTTTCTCGTAGGTTAGCGCCCGATTTTTCTATTTGTAAGATAGTTTCTGTGATGCATTGAAAATTGGCTAATATAACTGCAAGTTCATTTTTTATTAAATTGTCTTTAAATACATCTTGAACTTTTTGAATAGACATTGCATCATTTTCATTAAATGTATTGATAACTTCTTTTACCTTATCAAAGTTCTTACCATAGTAAAAAGCTGCATTAAGCCACGTACCCCAACGTGTAATAACGGGCTGTGGTGGTAAACTTAAATTTGGGCACATTTCTTTAAAAGTATTTACCCGAGCAGGGGCTTTTAAAAATATTTTTTTTGTGTTAGAAATTAACACGTCAACTTTTGGGAACTTATCTCTAATAGCTTCCGATACCCTATGAAGGCCATGGGCCATACATGTAATGTGAGTTAGTTTAGGATAAAACGCTTTTCCAGATTTTATCATGTATGGTGCAGCGTCTGTTACATAAAGTAATACTTTATTATGTAATACTTTTTCAGGCCACAGTATAGTCATAGAGTCATTGAACAATTTTGAAATCGTTTGAAAGTTAGCCTTTTCTAAGTTTTCAATTGTTAAAACTATTGGTTTTGTAAAATTTTCTGACGACAGGGAACCAATAATTACACATGCGATGTAACGCCCTTCGACATCGGTGGTTTCGTCAATTGATACCCAGATGGAACTATCCCCTATTTCTTTTCGGATTTTACATAATACGTCTTCATAACATAACGGAGCATAGTTTTTTCGTAGTGTCGATTCGTCAGGTAATTTTAATTTAATATATTTTTCGAAAAAATGTTTAAATTCTGGGTTTTGTAGTTTCCAAAGTGGAATATAATTTGCCACCATTAAGGTACAAATATCTTTACTGAACTCATTGATTATTTGTTCTATTCTGATCAAGCGAATTTTTTATAAACTGTTGACTAACCTGGTCTTTGTTTGATTTCAAATTAATGTTTTCAATGTGTTTTAATGTTCCTAAATGTTGAGTAATCTGTGATTTTCTATCACACAATACGCTGGTTTCACAAAATGTACAAAATAATATAGCTCCATCTGTACGAAAGACACCTGGGTAATCTCTCATGTAACAATGAACTTTCTTTACTTTTGGCATTTTACAGAAAAATAAAAATATTATTTTATACGAACACAAAAACTCTATAGTTACACCGACAAATTACCGTCACTAACTTATTGAAATACATAAGCCGTGCATATTGCGTGTGCGTATACCTAATAGATGCAGATAAGTTATCTGAGATAAATACACGAACACGCGGACTGTCGATAAAAATCAGCGACGGAAATTTCCCAATTATTTAAAATAACTTTTATGTCGACATCAAACTCGCCTTGCTTTGCAAAAAATAAAAAAAATCATCAACTATTAATAAAAAATGCAACTTTTATGCAATTATATAGAAATATGCAATTAATATGCATTTTCATTCAAATATGCAAAAATATGCAAAAATAAATATTGATAGCAGAATCTACGTGTTACGAAACGTCAATATATTTAATCAGAATTTTTATAAGTCAAATGTAGAAGAATATGCATTTGCATAAAAATCCGGGCCCTAGTAATAATAAATAAAATAAGTCAACAATGTGTAATTCTATGTTCATTATAAAAGTATTTTTTTTTATATTTTAATTAATAAAACCAAACTTTCGCCTATCCGAACTCGGCGTGGTTCCAATTAATTCAATTAATTCGGATAATCGAGGTTCTACTATATTTGAATACATGCATTTTGTAATATAATTGAACTCAATATTTTTGCAGTATTATTATTATATTATAGATATATTATATTATTATATATTATATTATTATTATAGAAAAATATACTTTTTTAAATAGTTTTTTTTTTTTTTGTGGATCTTATAATAAAATAAAAATAAAATATTTAATTTAAATTAATAGAAAATAATTTTATAGAAAGCTAAAAATATAAAAACATGAATTTGGCTCCATGAACTAATTCTGAAATAAATTATGCCCTTTGATTTAAAGGCTACAGACATGATGAATAATTATAGTAATGTACACATAGTTAGAAATAAACACAATACAATATTGTTTTAGACTGAATTTATTAAAATTGTTATTCATATTGTTTGATAATTTAGGATGAGTAGTTATACAAATTACATATTTTTGTCCAGTTTCCAATTTATATCTAGGCGAGTTAAAAATTTGTTCTCTAACCAAGCGAGTTTATATTTGAAGTTTATTTTTTTGTATATTTTGGTAATTTTTCCGAGAATAGCGTAATAATAATTTTCCGTACATGTAAATAGAGATTTTTGTAAATTTGTATTTATTTTTAATAAAATGTATCCTATATAACAATAATTTAACACAAAACCTCTAATATCTATAATATAGAGTTCTAAAACATATAACATTTATTAACACTTATTTATATACATTATAAATTATATTATATATTTATATTATTATATTATATTTATTTATATTTATTAACATATCATATTGATGTATTGTTAGGTCCGTATTTATAAAATTTGGCGCCTCCGGGCATATTATTTTTACCCCTCTTCCAAAATAAATAATAATAATATAACACTTATAATTTGGTCCATAATAGAGTTAATAAAACTTATAAATGAAAATCTTTTAATATATTTTTTTAATTAACAAGTTTAACAAATTATACCATAATAATACATACAATTTCCATTTTTTTTAATTTACAAATTATAGCATAATAAAATATACTTTTTTTTATTTTTTTAATTTTTTTTTCATTTAGTACATCATTTTTAAAATTAATTTTGCTAAAATATTTTGCCGCCCCCGAGTATGTGCCTACCAGCGTCCTCTCTAAATACGGGCCTGTGTATAGTTTATTATTGAATAGTACTTAAATGTAATATAATAAAACAAATACTACTAGTAATACTTATCTCATATGAATATAACGCTATTATTTTTCATTCCACAACTATCAGAAATAAAATGTAGTTTAGTCCAACGTCATATGTAATGAATGGAAAAATCAAGAAAATTACCGGTGATGGTTATATATATTTAAATCAATTATCCGACTATATTATAAACTAATATATTTACCTTTTCGATCTTAGTAGCGACTTCTCCGTAAAAATTGTAATTGGTGTCTGAAGTATAAAATGAGTTAAGCGATTTGTTTTTGACATAAAACCTTTTTCGCTAGTTTGTTACTGTAGACTTTATTTAATTTTTTTTAAGCACATACAACGAAAATATACAAAAAACACGCATATGAGCAACGTGTAAAGAGCTGGTATGTGTGGAGAGTCGATGACCGGTCTCCTTATATGTTGTTATGGGATTTTATATACCACATGTAATATTACAATTTAATTCGTGTAACAGTTAAATAGTCTAAAATTATCTGCATTTTTAACGATTGGTCATAATCTATGTAACATTGTACCCATGTAATTTTAAATAAAAGTGTACAGGTAGCTTTTTCCAGGAAATGCTGATATGTACATCAACGTGTGAATCATGTAAATTTTTAATATATTTAATCTTGTTTTTCAGAAGTGCTACTAATGAGTAGTTTCCTCAATAACGTACTCATGTTATGTAAATATTCTATTAACTATAAACATTTACTTATTGTACTTACTTAAGTATAGATTGTAAATAAAATTTTTATTTAATAAAAAAAAAATAAAAAAAATCTTGTTTAATTTATTTAATTATACCTATCCTATATGTAAATGCATATGAAATAATAGACTGATTAGAAATATTGGGAATTACAAACGTACTAATAAATAGAAGAAGACGGCAATAAACACAATCAACGAAGTGTCATTACTAAAAAATGGACAATAAAGTCATAAGCCTATTTTTGGATATCGCCAAAACAACAAATGCAGTGCCCTATAACGTCAATCAAACCATGTAAAAGAAGAATGGAAATGACCATAATTCAAATGAGTTCTAGTCGTGGAACTGCTAGCAACTTCACATCGCTTAGTATCAAAATTTTGTTAACACTATGAATTGTAAAATAAACGTATTATAAAAGTTAAAATTTCATGCTCAATTAAAAATAACACATCATCGACTTCTCAAGTTGAAATCGAGCTGATGGCATGTAACAATATCATGTTTTGTGAGTGTGCGTGTGTGTGATCCTTTATCGCTATATTGTCCTATTCAATATTTATAACTTATTCTAACGTTACAGATTATTATAATTATTTTCCAATACATTTTAAATCTAAGAAATATGTGATGGCTTAATTCCACATCATTACATCCACCAGTATTATTGTCATTTGGTCACACTGTATGATAGTTTGCAAATAATCTGATATAAATGTTAAGACCACGATTTAATAAAGAAAAAGATATATCTTAAACCGTGGTTAAGACGTGCGTATAGAGAGCAAACATTAGTCTTCATATGTTTTATCAATAGTTTTGAAAATCTCGTTTCTATCAGTTGCCTACCAAAACATTTTAATATTATTTTTATTTTAATAATTGTATCATACTTGTGATTGAGAATTTGTGACTCATATTCAATAACATGGATCAACTCAAATGTATGCGATGTAACAAATATTTTAGTTATAAAAGAACTCTAAAGCGACACTTGGTTACATGCGGATCCAAACATCATAAAAATATAATTTCTATAAAATGTCCTGATTTACGTTGTAGTAAGATATTTACCAACAAAAAAACTATTGAAAGTGCATATAGAGATTGATCATGGCGTGCAATTGCAAGAAAAACAAATAAGATTTGCTTCTATGCATGGTAATGGATTTTAATTTTGCTATTATTATTTTATTTTCCTTAGGTATGCTATACTTATAACTAGGGAACGAATTTATATGTAATAAAAATATAGAAATATGTGCCTACATATATATGTAAGCATAATTTATAAAATATGTGCTAAAAACAACCAAATATGTATGTGGGAAAAATATTAAATTAAAAAAAAAAAAAATTATAATCATTAAATTATCAAAATAATTTGTTGCATTGAATTATTACAGTATCATTATTATTGAATGTTAAATGTTGCTTATTAAATCTCAAAATATTTTTAAAACGGCTAAATGATCATTACACATAAACCGATGTAATTGAAGTATATTTGAAGTGCATATCAAAAGGCGATATCTTATATTTTTGTATGAAAAAAACGTATGAATGATGAAATGATAAAATATGTTTAAAAAATATTTATAAATTAGTGAAATATGTAAAAATATGTAGTTATAGGTACCAAAATATGTAAAAATATGTAAAATAAAAGTATCATAATTTTAATAGGAATGATTTAAATCATGAACATTTCTTAATGAATCTTAAATAACTTGTTTTAATAAAAATATGCAATTACATATAAATCAATACCCTACTTATAACGATACTGTGTTTATAAAATGTATACTTTTAGAATTCAATGAATGGAAATCAGAAGTTGAAGAAAATATTTTATGTGTTTACGTGTTAAGTGCTCGTAGAACTAATTGTCAGAATAAAAAGATAATGTATCTGGATTGTTGCCAAACTAGTATTTTTGGTAGCACATTAGATATCCGGAATGTAAAATGCCAAACTAAAAATATTGGTTCTACATGCTCTTCGTCAATGGTATGATTTTATAAATTTCTTAATGCTTCTGAATCAAATTAATTAATTTTAATTAAATAATTTTATTGGTTTGATTTCACTTACTTTTACTCAAATGTTTTTTTGATTGTTACAGAAAGTAGTAACAGAAAAAAATGGAACCATTGTTGTAGACTTTTGTATAACTCATTTTGGTCATGATGTGAATCTTGATAGATATTATTTTACACCTGAACAAGACCTACAATACTTACAAAATTTCTACAAACTTTAAGAAAATGTAATTAAAAATAAATATAAATAATTTAAATGAATTAATAACGATACTTTTCGGTTATCTTTACTACAATCATTTATAATCGTTGGTTGTCACGATAACCAAAGTGTATTTATTTTAAATCCTTTAAATTTTACTCATTTATTAATATAAGTAGGTATGCGAAATTGTTATAGTAATTATCTCCTAATTTAAATAAATAAAATTTGTTAATATTATTATTCTAAAATAATTTAAAATGTTTGTAAATTTAAATAAATATATATAATTTTATGTTTGTTAAAAAAAATAATTTTATATGTATTTTTAAAGTATATAGTTTTAGTAATTTTAATATATATATATTAATTTTTCATAGTAATTAATATTGATATGAATTTTTATCTATCGGAACATTTTAGTTTAGGACCTATTAGTTTTTATTTTTTATATTGTATAACTCAAGATTGTGCAGTTCTAAAAATGTGAATTAATGTTAATTATATCATAAAATAATAATAATTTTACAAAATTCAAATCCAAATTCAAAGAGTTTTTTTCATTTGTATATAAACTTATCATTACTATAAAAAAAAAAAAAAAATCTCTGGTATAAGATATTGAATTTTCTAGACATAAATAAATAAAAAAATTAAATCTATAATGTACATAAATACTATTCAACACCACACATATTTTAGTATATTTTAAAGGCTGATGCTACTTCATAACTTTCAAGTATGATCTTAGAAAGTTTGTAGCTTTTCTACTTAACCCAAGGCCTACAGAGATTATTTTCAATAATTGTTTTTTCTAAAATCAATTCTATTCTATATAATATTATAAATTTAATTTCAAAATAAAGGATTTATTCCAAAATTTTCATTTTTCTTTTTATAGAACAGTTTTTCTACGTCAACAAATGAACATGATTTCAATAATGTTAATTTTTGTTTTTCAATACTCATTAATTATGTTAATTATTAACAATGATATGAGGCCTATTAGTGTGTGCCTAGAGGATGTAGAAAATCAAGACAAGTGGAGGTTAAGAACAAGGATGACCGATCCCAAATAGTTGGGAAAAAGGCGAAGGAGAAAAAGAGAAGAAGATTAACACTTCTAATTTTATAACCGACTATTGAATAATATATACCTCACATAACATACAAACTTATAATAAGTCTATAAGCAATGTTGAATTTAGAAAGATGATAATTGAATAAATGTCAAGTTTTGATTTAACAATTTATTTAACTTAGAATAGATTATCATTAATTCAAATTTCAATTAATTTAAAAAATATATAGTTTAAATAAAGATTGTATAAAGGTGAAATTAATAAAAACCAAGTTCAATTAACATATACTACCTAAGAATAGTGATATTATTATATGTTTTTATGTTAAGATATTTTTTATTTAATCTTTAATAAATACTGATATTAGTTTTTATTATCAAATTTAAAATACAAATTGTGCTTTTTCTGTTTGAACAATATTTCTTGACTATTGGAATTGTTTTTCAAACAATAATTGATTATCATTTAATATTTTGTACACTTTTTAAAACCATGTTCTTTTTTGTAATAATTTGTGTTAATATACTAAAATGAATAAATCACCTTTTTATTTAATAAAGTATAATTATTTTATACATAGTTTAATAAATAATAAAACTATATTTAGTAATATTTGGCTTTTTTATACTATTATATAAACTAATCATAGTACTAAATGATGTTAAAAATGTATAACAGTATGAAAAAAAATTGAATATCAAACTTTAGTAATATATTGAAATATGTAAATAGCATATATGACTATATGTTTTATTTTACTAATTCAAATATATATGGTAAATTATTATTAATAATATTAAACATTTTACTTTCATCATTAATGTCATCCTATATAGCTGGATTTTCCTTGTTTCGTTAATTTTAATAGTGTTTGAATTAAAATATACTTAATAATTTGTTCAATTTAATTTCTGAAATTAACCAATGAAAAAATATTTTTAATTTCAAGCATACATTCTGAAAAATATATATTTATATAACTTAGTATATTAACACATTAAAAAAATATATCTTATATACTTAAAAACTCAATCCATGTTTTTATTTTTAAGCAATTCTGTTCTATGTTTTTGTTTCAATACTATTTTTTAATTGACCAATATTCATAATTTCATAGATTTTTTTTCTGAGCAAAAGTCTTGATCATGTTTATGATATACAGGTAATGTAATCTATGAAATAACCCATATTTTAAATTTATCCATAACATAATACATTTATATAATAACATGAATGTACAATAATTATATATTATGTAGTAAAACATATTGGATATAACTACACAAATTCATAAATATAATTAGTTAAAAAAAAAAATAGTTTATTTTAATAAGCAATATCCTGCCCCAAAATTGCAAAAGTTAAAATAGTGACAAAAAAAAAAAAAAACAGCATAAAAAAGTTAAATTACAAACAAGCAATATTTTGTTTAAAAACATAATGTACTAATTTAGTTTAACCAAAAAACTTTAAAATTATACATAATAATTTATATTTTTATTTAATTTCTCCAATCTCTATTGTTTTAATATTATTTCAGTAGCTAACTTAAAAAAAAAAAAAAAACAACCATAAATAAAGTACATGAAAATAAAAACTAAAACTAACAAATAATATTACATTAAGCAAATGGTACATAAAATGTTACATAAAATAAATATATAACAATTGAGTCAAATAGTTAATGATGGTTGTGTAAATTATGGCTCTTAATATTATTTTCTGAAGCATTAGATAAGCATGGTTAATGTCACTGGTATTAACATTAATTGTAATACTTGATTTTTGCTACGTAAAAAGTTGTGATTATGTAGTACATTTTTAGATCCATCTTTTCTTTTATATGTAATTTTATACTTTTTTTTTAAAAAAAAAAAAAAGTACATATAAAATAAAGAAATATAATATAATTGAAAAAATATGTATATATTAATAAATATAATTCAATAAAGTTGAAAAATATATAACTAACTAAAAGAATTAGTTTGTATTACTTCCGGATCAAAACTTTAGGTAGTGATGTCAATTTGACATATATATTATTGTAATCAAGTATTTTTATAATAATCTGCTAATGAATTTAATTTAAAATTATGAGAAATATATAGGTATTTATTATTTAATATTAGTTTTGAGTTATTTCATTAAATTACTTACATTTTAATTCTAGGGCCTTTTCATATCACATATTCAGTACTTGAAAATGATCAAAGCATATTACTTTATTTTGCACGTTGATTTTTAAAAATATCTTTAATTTCTTCATTTTTACATCATTCAACCAATTATTAACACCTAAAATGTACTTGCATACATTGTTATATTTTTATTTATATTGGTATTTACACAGTTATACTTAATATTTTTCGATGGAAGCGAATCTACGTAATACCTAGTTTATATCTAATTTTCCTTTATTTTTACAATGTCTTACAGTACATGATTTTTTTTTTAATCTCATGTTAATTGAAATATTGAATTTGGTACACAATAAAAATAAGAACTGCAATCGTCATAGACTATAGTTTTTAAAGTCTATAGACTTTAAAAGTAAATAGGTACTACAGTGTATCTTCATGATAATAAACATTTAAGCCACTGTGTTAATTATTTATGTTTAATAAATTAATAATTTATGTTATTTATGTTTAAAGTTATCTTAAATTTTGGCGGGTAAAATCATGTCAATTGCGCGCCGTGTTCGTAGGCGATAAGCCGACAGTTGACCGCCGCTGATTATCAATTGACTTTCACGTGTTATCGTTTGATAGCGTTCGGTTCTAAACACGAGTTAATAAATGGTATGTCTTAATTCGTGGTTTTAACCGTATTCGGAAGGCCGCGGAAAGCTCATGTGCGACACGATACGCGCGAAGGGGTCGAGGAGAATCGAGTGCCAGAAATTCGTCCGTCTTGATAAATTCCAAGTGTTTCGGTTTTGACGGGGAGGCGTCGTGCGTTTCGAATGCGCTTGAGATTTGAACCATCGCGACCGGGCCCCAATTGTTTATTTTGTTTTCCTCGCCTATGACCGAAAATCCGAGCCGTGTCGGTATGCGTTCGTCCATACAAACCGTGTAACGAACTGTTCTCGTTTCGACAAAACCATTCCGCTCAACACTGTTTGCAGGTCCGCCATCGTTTCGTTGCTACTTCCGCCGACGTCAATTTTTGCGAACCCTTACCGTAAGTACAACATTGTTTCGGTTTTTCGTACGCATGGTATTATACGATTTTTATAATTGTAAACCGGTTATGCACCGGCACAATTTAAATGAATACGTTCATAATTTAATGAGCGCCGTTAAGTTTATAGTTCTTATAACCTTAAAACTCAATGCACTAAGTATATCATATTTAATATATTTTTGCTGAAGTATCTACACGATTATTATTGTGCATGAATGGCTGCATTGGGAATTGCATAATCTCATTGTTTTTCTTTCAAAATCATATACTCAATTGCAAGTGCACTAAAAATACCATTTTTGTAGTGCCTTGTTTGTGTAGCATTTCCAGCGAGAGAATGTGCCGGTTCTGCGCATGTAGAATGACGATCGAGCCATCGCTAAGATCTCATTTCCCCATTTAGGCATCCTCATTCAAAAGACAGCTGATCGATAATACAAAAAACGGTGGGTAAACAACCCATTAATTATTGCTACCCGTATAGAATACATGTGTGCACACTGAAATTATTATATTATTATATCAATAATGAATTATTATTGTTTATCAACTTGTTTATCCCAAATTGTTTATCCCTTTGACGAGTAATGACGTATATATACGTTTTAAAAATTTATGTCTAAACAGTATCGATGTATATATAAATTGTTTCAGGTATACTTATTTTAAACATCTGTAGTAAGACGTATGAATATCAATTAAATTTTAGTGTATGCTGCTATCTATTGGCTATTATATACAACTTAAACAGTTATTACTTATGTTCCCTACAATTTATTAACAATGATAATATTCATCAATCCTAATATTTTTTATGTATAAGGTTGCCAATATTGTAAGGAGCATTATATCATTATTAGTACATTCACAGTTCCCTCGTAAACATAATAATATTTTGGTAGCGGATTCGTAACATAATACTCTATTTTGAAATTATTTTGATTCAGAAAATATTTATTTATTATATTATATAGTATGCCTACCTATATATTTAATATAACATAAATTAAATATTTAAAATGACTAATAAATTGTGTGAGCAACAAATCAGCGAGTACATTACAACATTAGAATCTGACGAAAATAATGTTAGTAGTGACGAATGTGAAAATAATTATTCTAATTTAACAAATACCTTACGATAACGGTTATTAGAATCATTAAGTTCATCAAGTAACAATAATTATAATTACGCTACAATTAATGACCAAGAAAATAATAACTGATGATATTAATATTAATTCATTGCCAATCGTTTTTGATGACAATGTTGTTAAATTACCATCAAGTAATGATTGCTAATACTGATTGCCAATCAGAAAAATATTACCATAATATCTACATTTTTCAATGGAAATTTTGAATTTTTTCTCCTTCAAAATTATTTAGACCAAATGGGTTTATTATTGATATTTCTAATGGTGGTCCATCAAAGGATTTTATTGAAAGCTTATCTGAATCATATCATGTTTTTTCACGAAATAGATAATCATTGATATAAAATCAATATTATTAGTTCATATTAACATGTTACCTGATGTCTATATTTATTATATAAATTTAAAAGTAAATGCAAATGAAATTAAATTTATTGGCTAATTGATGCTCAATCGTGTTATTTAGTATAATATAGAAAATACGTAAGTATACTTCATTACTCAAATAGTATTAAGGTAATATTACCGTAAAAAAACGTCATTCTTCCAAAATTGCTACAATCATACACGTAAAAATACGTCATTACTTGCGAAATGTTTACGAAAATTATTTAA